GGCCCGGACGGCGGCGGCGAAGGGGCGGCCGAGCCCCCCCGGGAGTTACGCTGCAGCGACTGCATCGTGTGGAACCGGCAGCAGACGTGGCTGTGCGTGGTACCCCTGTTCATCGGCTTCATCGGCCTGGGGCTCAGCCTCATGCTCCTCAAATGGATCGTGGTGGGCTCCGTCAAGGAGTACGTGCCCACCGACCTGGTGGACTCCAAGGGGATGGGCCAGGACCCCTTCTTCCTCTCCAAGCCCAGCTCCTTCCCCAAGGCCATGGAGACCACCACCACGACCCCTTCCACCGCGGCGCCCGTCACCCCCTCCGCCGGCGCCGCCGCCTCTTCCAGGACGCCCAACCGGATTAGCACCCGCCTGACCACCATCACGCGGGCGCCCACCCGCTTCCCCGGGCACCGGGTGCCCATCCGGGCCAGCCCGCGCTCCACCCCAGCACGGAACACTGCGGCCCCCCCGACGGTCCCGTCCGCCACGGCCCCTTTCTTCAGCAGTAGCACGCCGGGCTCCCGACCCCCGGCGCCAGGAAGCCCCAGTACCCAGGCCATGCCCTCGTGGCCCACTGCGGCATATGCTACCTCCTCCTACCTACACGATTCTACTCCCTCCTGGACCCTGTCTCCCTCCCAGGATGCTGCCTCCTCCTCCTCCACCACCTCTTCCTCCTCCTCTGCTGCCACCACCACACCAGAAACTAGCACCAGCCCCCAATTTCGTAAGTAAACACCGTGTCTCAACTCTGATCTACTACTGAGTTTCCTTTCTGCCCTGCTGCTGTCCTCTTCCCCGGTCGCCTGTCTTCTGGCAGGCCCCCTCCCCCATCCCAGGTTTGGGGCACAGAGAGACAGCGTGTTAAAACTGGCCAGAAAGCGGGGAAAAGGTGCCGGTCTGTTCCGGTGTGTGTGGGGTGGGGGCGGTAGGAACGGGAGGGAGGTTGACCAGCTTCAGCGGGTCCCAAATGAGAACAGATCTTCTAACGCCCTTTAACGGGTTAAGGCGATTCCTCCTCACTGCAGACCTGCTGGCGAGCTGCTGGATCCCTTTCCAGTAGAGGGCTGGGCGGAGGGGGACGGGGGTGGCTTCCCGAATGCACTGAGCCCTTTCCCCGGAGAGAGAGGAAAGCACATGCAAATTGACCGACGACGACCACAAAGGGAAGTTATGTCCAAGGGGGGGGGGGTGACGATTTGATGGAGATGTTGGTAGAATGTACCTGAAGCTTCCAGCAGCCCTGTCCAGGGCGGGGACCAGGAAGGGTTAATTAGAAAGCATTGGGGAGAGGTAGGGAAGGAAGTGTTCCTAGGCAAAGGGATAAACGGAGCCCCCTCAATCCCTCCACCCCCAGCCTGCCCATGGCCATTCCAAGGCACAGAAATGGATTCCGTGGCCGCCGAGAGTGAGTGAACTAGGAGGAAATATGAAGGGATCCCTGCATGCAGAGCTGCCACCTCTAGGGTCCTGAGGAAGGAGGAGGGTGTTTTTTTTTTTTTAGCTCCACCAAGCATTTGCTTTTGTACCTTCCCCTAAAGTAAGTCGGGTGTGAACCTTATCTCCTTTCCCTCTGCGCCTGAAAAATATCGGAAGGTTGGGACTGAGTTTTCTGCACTCAAGAATGAGAACATCCAACCCTTTTAAAACATGTCACCCTTTGAATGTAGCATCTTCAGCCTGGGCTCAGTTGGTGCCAGTATTGGCCAGTTTACACCAAGCCTGATGACTTTTTATTTATTTGTGTAGAAGGTGTGTTTTTCATAAATGTTTTAGGTGAATAATTGACCTCCCATCCCACCCCCCACCTTGTTCTTATTCTAACAAAATCTCAGGAACCTTATTAATCTGATCTGATTCTGGATATGGGAACAGTTTGTGCAACCTGTGAAGGTTATTTAGGACAAAACCCCAGCCTGCCAGTTCAAGTTCTGTGCAAAGCTGTTCTGCAAAAACCGTCTGGTTATGCTGTCTTTATATTGTATTTTTTTTTTTTTTTTTGAGCTGTAGCATCTGGGGGAAAGGAAGTGTGTTCATCATTAACTCTTCGGTGCTGGTAGGAATACCCAGTTTGCTTTCAGTCAGCTGGTAGTTTTTAATTTCCCTGACCTGTGAGCTTACCCTGGGTGTTAAATCCCTTGAAACTTTTAAAATAAGAATTTAGTGTATTTATAAGTAAGGTGTACAGGAGAGAAAGTCCTTTAGCCTATACACTGCTTGCTTTGAAAAAAACAGGCTAAAAGATAAATTGGGAGACAGGAAGGAGAGGGGAAGGAAGGAGTCTGCCACAAACCAGAATGGCAGTAGAGCCAGTAACTTGCAGCTTTCCATCTCCTTTGGCTGCAGCAGTCATTTTTGAAAGCACATTTTCTCAGGAGGTGTTTAGTGGCTCTTCTCAACAAATCTAGGTTGAGTTTTGTGGAGGGATAATGGGTTTGCAAGTGTGTGTGTATGAGCATATTCAGTGGATTGCGTGTCTCTCCCGAACACCCCAGATTTTTGATCTCCTCTTGATGCAGTTGACATGAATAATCGAGTGTGGGTGTCTGTCCAAACCGTGTGTGTGTGTGTGTGTGTGTGTGTGTGTGTGTGTGTGTGTGTGTGTGTGAGTGTGAGGGAGGGGGGCCCTGTACATTGTGGGTATTTCATGTTCTTAATTGACTTCCTTGCATTCCATTCCGGAGGTCTTTAAAGAAAAGCCCAAGGTAATTATTTCTACCCCTCCGTGCTCTCTCCCTACATTCTGTAGAAGGGAATGGCAGCCTGTTTAATAAGTAATGATTATTGACAGGGCTCTCAGCCCCAAGGAAAAGAGGGAAAAAAATCTGTAAATGGTGTCAATGTTCACATAGACATATAAGCAGTATTTATTTTATTGGTATCTGAGGTCCAGCTCTTTCTCTTTTTTAAACCTTTAACAAGTTGAATTAAGGGATAAAATTCAAATATGTAAATCCAGCAGAAATTGACCTGGTTTATATATATCAACAGGGAAATTTTAATGAAAAGTAGATTATGTAGTTTCCATAAAAGGTGTGTTTAAATAATTAGGTTTATGGTAATTTAAAGACAAAGGATAGTTGGTTTTTTCTTTCTTTTTTCTTCACTCAAGATTGCAGGATGATTAACAAAAGGAAATAAAGATTTCATTTGAGGGATGATGAACACTGCTACTGTAGGCTAAAAATGGCCTGAATAGCTGGCATTAATATGTTTAGCTTGTTTTGATTATGCCACTAAAGTTCCCAGGACAGAAATTCCCTTTTTCCAGCTTCTACTGTCATACTTTAGTAGGTTTTTTCTTTTTTCTTTTTTTTTTTTTCTTTTAAATGAAAGTCATGGATCCTGTTGTAGCACCTGAGGACGGTAAAGGACAATGCTCTGTTTTTCCACACTCCCCCACAAGTGCTTTAATGGCCAGGATCTTTGCTCTTGAACATCTCAAGGCATATAGAACAAAGGTCTTTGTCTTCATCTTAGGTCAATCAGAAGCATTCTGTCTGTAAAGGCAGAACAGCTCTTTGGAGGAGAAGAGGCTGGTTCATTGGGAATACACATATGCTAATGGTTAATACGGTTTTTGTAAGCAAAAGCTATTTTTTTTCCACAGGAAGGCTCATTTTAGAGGACTGCTTCTAATTTTATGTAGGACTGAAGACAGATATTGAACTTGAAAGGCAAGAGGAGAAGGAAGGCTTGGAAGTTGACTCTTCTCTTCCCAGCCTCCTCCCTTTATTTTTTAGGCCATGAGCTGGACCAAAAGTTTCCTCTGTGTTATTGGGATTCTTGGGTTCCCATTGGGCCAGGACTTGCCTTCCCTTCAGACTCTTTAAAAACAAATATCTTCAACATATTGACACTAACCAAAAACATCTTTGAAGCATTTTGTATCTGAAAGTGTAGGTTAGTTCTCAAGTTTTTCAAGCCAAAAGGAAGTCACTATAGACAGAGGAACAGTGATTTTGACCAGTGCACGAACAGCCTTTCCTTTTTATAGCATATTGAATTGTGTTTTCAGATTTGAAATTTATTTGTGGAATGTTGCCAGTGTAAATTTGGATTGTTTAGAGACCTGGAATTCTTTTACTAAGTTGAAAGCACTGTTGAAGAGGTAAAAGACCAGAGTCATTGGCTAAATTCAAATGCTAATGACAAAGAGCCCCTTTTAATGGGTTATTCTTTTGGGTCTTATTCGGAAAGTATATAGTTAATTCCAGTGAATAAGATTACTGATATTGAATAGTGTTTTTAGAGAAGAAATAAATGTAAAATGTATCATTGATGTTTAAACGTGGTATGGAATCAATTTTTATTTAATTAAGTCTATTTAAATATAACTTTACCTTGTCATACCTATTGTAAGTTTTAAGAGAGCCATTGATAAAATCAACTTTTTGCCTACTTATGCTTTCCAACGTCTTCATTCCTTAAATAAGAGTAGTCTTTGTTGATTTATAAGCAGCCTCAGATAGAATTTGTTGAAATAAAGTTACTCCTGTATATTGTGTTCTGTCTACATGAGTCAGGGCCTTCAAAGGAATTCCAACATAGAAGGTACTGACCCCAATCATTTGTGGTAGCCAAAGTGAGAGGATTCAGAGCTCAAGATCAATATTTCTTATGAAATCCAATTGAGAGCTTTTTTATGAACACATGCTGCAACCTGAGTATGTTTTGATTTCCTTTGGCCTTAATGCAGGATTATGAGACTTTTCTACTTTAATCAATTATACCGTACAGTTTTGCTTTTTAGACACTTATGTTGCACTTCATGGCCCTAACAAAAAGGAAGCTCGGGTGTGTGTGTAGATTTGCAAGGCTATTTTTAGGGCCCTTTTCAGTACAGTCTCAGTGCATTAAGACTATTTAAACGTTCCTTCTCAGTTCTTCATGACTATCAGTCTTGAAGGGGTTGGAGGTGTTATTGCTAACTGACAGTCCCTTTTGCAAGTTTGATTTGTGAATCCAACCACTTTTGTATTTGTACTGTTTCCCAGATAGGCTTTTTTTGTACCACAGTGTTGATCCACAAGCTTATAATTAAAGAAAAAAAAAAAACAAAACAAAACTGAAAACCTGGTTTGTGGCAATTTCTCTCTGTTACTAAAGAGCCCAGCTTTTCTAAATCCAGGCTGTGCCCCAAGCAGGAGTGCCAGCGTAGAGTGTGAAATCAGTGCCATTCTGGGAGATCTAGTGTGTGAAGGAATAAGACCTCTTTTCTCTCCAGAGCTACTTTCCTAGCCCTTCCTCCTGTTTATACCACAGTTAGAAGAACGCTGATTTTCAACTTGCTTTTGTAGAAATTCTTTCCTCATAACCTCTCATATCCAATGCCAAGCATATCTCAATATTCTATCTGGGATGTCGAAAATGGAACATGAAAGTTGGCCCTGAAATATATAAGAGCAAGGGAAGAGCCATAAATCTAAGTCTTTGAAATGCATTAGCATTGCTTCCGAATAGAACTGGAGTTCATTTTTCTTTCTTTCAGTCTGTTTTGTCTTCAGACTGGGGTATTTGGTAAGGCACTGAGCTGCTACTGTGTTCGCAAATACTTCACTGAGACATTTCGAGATCCTGGTAATTTTATTTGTCTACCCAGAAAAGAGTTCCCTCCAGAACCGTGTATATATGAGGGATCTTCAAAAAGTTCATGGAAAGATTTGTATTATCTTTTAACTGTATTTTTCCATGAACTTTTTGAAGTACCGTTGTAGTTAAGGTAGGAGGGAGGA